TGGGCCTGCTTTTGCTGAAAATGGCTTGGCCAGAAGCTTTTAATTGCATCTGCCTTGATAAAACTGCAATTGGAGCTGGCCTTGATAAAACGGCCATCGGCCTTTGCTGAAAATGGCTTGGCTCGGCCGCTGATAAATTGATTATGCGGGATAATGTGGAATTTGCAATCCTTTGCGGCGATGTAGCTGAGCTTCAAGAGAGCCGTTTTTTGTTACAAATTCTCTTTGTTTTTAGCTAACAATGGCTTGGCCCAGCCGAGTATGCAGGATCATACGGATGGCCCCTTCAAGCAAAACCACGCAGAACGTTCCTGGTCTCGTGTTTGCAACTTAGGGTATATCTTATAGCTTCTTGAGGATGCCCATAAGGCGATGCTTGGATTCCAGCTAGAAGCCTCCAAGCTAAAGACTTGTCGGCCGCCATCGGCCGTAAAAGGACGAAATGCAGACGCGCCCTATGCTGGGCGCGTTAGAGTTTAGGGTTTAGGGTCAATCCAAATTCCAGGATAGCAAATCACAAGGAGCGCTTCATCCACAGTTGCTGGTTGAAAACACCACCCACCCAAGCTCCCATTTCATTGGGCAGCCAAATCTTTCGCGACAAATTTCAGATCGTCGCGTCGGCTACGGGATCTCGGATTTGCGCGAGAAAAGCTTCGAAAGCAAAGTTTTTGAGTAGAAAGTTTGATAGCAGAAGTTCAACGAAAAAAGTTGAGCCCGCGCGTGAGCGCTCAGTGAGAAGTCGAAGGCTCGGCAACGCTTCGAGCTCACATCTAGCGCGCTCTGAAGCAAACCCCCTTGGCTCGGCAACGGTTTAGGGTTCGCAGCTTCAAGAAAATGAGCGCCGCGCCACAGCGGGAGCGATTTGACCACGCGAAACTCCGCAGAGGGTCGCGCGAGCAAATTGAAAATCGCAAAAAACCACGAGTTTTCGAGGGCCGACCAGCCCAAAGTCTGCAGAGGGTCGCGCGTGCGATTTGAAAATCGCAAAAAACCACGAGTTTTCGAAGGTTGACCAGCCCAAAGTCCGCAGAGGGTACGAGTTTTCGAAGGTCGACCAGCCCAAAGTCCGCAGAGGGTCGCGCGGGCGATTTGAAAATCGCAAAAAACCACGAGTTTTCGAAGGTCGACCAGCCCAAAGTCCGCAGAGGGTTGCGCGAGCGATTTGAAAATCGCAAAAAACCACGAGGTTTTTGAAGGTCGGCGGCCCGAAACCACGACAGGGCCACGAAAAACCGCTCGCCAAGTAGAGGCTCCAAAATGATGGCCCTGCCAGCAAACGAGGGTCGGAAAAAAGTTTAGGGTTTATTGGCTGACAGGGCCAACGTTTTGGAGCGCCGAAAAAGCTCAGTTCACTAGCCGCAATTTCCTTTAGGGTTTAAATTAATATAGATAAACAAGTTAAACAAGTTTAGGGTTTGCCCTCGAAGCGGCGCGCCTCGACCCAAAGGGTCGCGGGGCGGCGCGCCGAGGCTGCTGCTTCAACCCACCCCAATGCCACCCAGATACAAATCTTTTAGGGTTTAGGGTTTTGAATTTTATTTGAATTGCAGACGACAAGGGAAACGCTCGAGCGCGAGACGCGTGTCCGACGACGCCCGCGGCCCTGGACTTGCGGGTTGCTGTAGCGATTTAGCAAGGGCGGGGTTCAGGCCAATCGCTCGCGCTAGCCGAGCGCTGCAGCTGGAGCGAGTTGCGCGCCGCTTGAAAGTTGCAACGGCTTGAGCCCAAAGCTTCACTGCGCTCGACTGAGCAGTCGCACGCGCTGGCAATGTGGCGTGGGCGACTCTGCTCTGCTTGCAGCGGCGAGGGCTGACGGCTGTAACGTCTTCAAGCAAGCGTTGGGCGGCAGTTAGGGGCCATCGTTCAGGGCAGCTTCTGCAATTTCATCCCGAGCGTTGGGGCTGCGCCATAGCGCAGGCCACGGCTTCAACAATTTCAAAGCCTCGCCAGGCTCTCAAAAGCCCCCTGGCTATTTCATCAAGGCGCGGCAATTTTTATCAAAACCAATGGCTGTTCCCGTTTGAGCTCCTGCAAAATTACTATGGCGGGGCCCCGCCGCGGGCGGCGGCAAGGGCTAGAGCGAGCCACGCAGCTTTAGGGGGTCGCTTTAGCGATGCAGCAAGGGCGGGGTTCAGGCCAAGGCTGCAGCGACTTCATCGCTCGCGCTAGCCGAGCGCTGCAGCTGGAGCGAGTTGCGCGCCGATTGAAAGTTGCAACGGCTTCAGCTCAAAGCTTCACTGCGCTCGACTGGGGCAGTCGCGCGCGCTGGCAATGTGGCGTGGGCGATTCTGCTCTGCTTGCAGCGGCGAGGGCTGACGCTGTACGTCTTCAAGCAAGCGTTGGGCGGCAGTTAGGGGCCATCAGGGCAGGCCACGGCTTCAACGATTTCAAAGCCTTGCCAGGCTCTCAAAAGCCCCCTGGCTATTTCATCAAGGCGCGGCAATTTTATCAAAACCAATGGCTGTTCCCGTTTGAGCTCCTGCTAGCGACTTCATCGCTCGCGCTAGCCGAGCGCTGCAGCTGGAGCGAGTTGCGCGCCGATTGAAAGTTGCAACGGCTTCAGCTCAAAGCTTCACTGCGCTCGACTGGGGCAGTCGCGCGCGCTGGCAATGTGGCGTGGGCGATTCTGCTCTGCTTGCAGCGGCGAGGGCTGACGCCTGTAGCGTCTTCAAGCAAGCGTTGGGCGGCAGTTAGGGGCCATCGTTCAGGGCAGGCCACGGCTTCAACGATTTCAAAGCCTTGCCAGGCTCTCAAAAGCCCCCTGGCTATTTCATCAAGGCGCGGCAATTTTATCAAAACCAATGGCTGTTCCCGTTTGAGCTCCTGCAAAATTACTATGGCGCTGGCGGCGGCGAGGGCTAGAGGGAGCCGCGCAGCTTTAGATGGAGTTTTATAGGGACTTGTCCGGAGCTCTTTTTTAGGGTCTACAAGATCGCCAATGGCCTAATATCAAATGTCTAGATCTTTTGCGTTTTGGCCGGATGGAGCTCCAATCCCAAATCAAAGCCAATGGCCGTTTTATCAAGGCTTTAGAGCCAACGTAGGGTCTGGAGCAATGGCCATTTTATCAAGGCCGATGGCCGTTTTATCAAGGCCGATGGCCGTTTTATCAAGAAGCGGCTTGCAAGGAATTTTATCAAGGCTTTAGAGCCAACGTAGGGTCTGGAGCCTAGGTTTTAGGGTAATAAAATATTGCTTCGCATATTTTGTGCCTGCAGGCACGGTCCCAAGAGAAGGGAGGCCCTTGGGGCAGCTGCATAGCTGCTGGCGCTTTATCGGCAATAGCTCGGAGCCATTGCCCGGGCGCTAAGCGCGCCGTGCGCTCGCAACTCCATGTCGCTCTAAGCGAGCGGTTAGTCGTCGCGAGCTTTAAGTTTAGGGTTTAGGGTTTAGGGTCTAGAGGGTATATCAAATGGATTGAGGAAGTTTTGTGTTAGCTTTCCCACCCACCCAGATTGGTTACCCACAACATAGGATAATTTGTTAGTTTCTCCAAATTTCAAGACGGGCGTCGCGAGCGACAAACTCCGCTAGCCCGGTGGCTCGTTTATCTTGCTCCACAGCGGCCAAGTTGAAAGCAAGGCGAACTGTTGCTTTTAAATGCTTGGCGAATGGCCAGGTCTTTACATTGTGAGCTTGGATTGCCATTTTTTGAATTGCGCCGTATGGACAGTTTATCAGCGGCCGGCCAAGCCCAGAAAGGAGCCAAATGACCAGATCTTTACACATTTCGCAATTTTGGCAGTTTATCAGTGGCTGGCCAAAAGAGCCGAATGACCAGATCTTTACACTCCAAGCCTGGATGGCCATTTTTACATTGCGCCATATGACATTTTGAGCTGCTCCCCAGAAAGGAGCCGAATGACATTTTTACATGAACAATTTATCAGCGGCTGGCCAAGCCCAGAAAGGAGCTAAAATGATTAGATCTTTACATTTGGAGCTTGGTGGCAATTTTTGCATTGTGCCATATGAACAGTTTATCAGCAGCTGGCCAAGAAAGGAGCAAAATGGCCAGATCAATACATTTCAAGCAAGAATAGCATATATATCCAAGCCTGGATGAAAGATTTGGAGAAGAAAAGAAGCAACGGCAAGCTTGCCCAGGATAGAGTCGAAGAAGGCTTTGGAGCTGGCAAAGGACAGAGCCAAGCCATTTCCAAAGACCTTTCCCTTCCCAAAGGACAGAATCCTTCTTCTGGGAGAAGAGGAGCCCATTGAAGAGAGAATTTAGGGTTTAGGGTTTAGGGCGTCCTATAGTGCCACGGCCGCGCCTCCCCCCATGGAAGGGGAGGCGCGCCGTTTTGTATTGGGGAGCCCACCCAGCCACCCAAACTTGCACCTTTTAACGGGTTTAGGGTTCGCCCTCAGACGCCGGGCAGGCTCAACATTGTCTGGCTTCTTTTTGGAGACGATAGTCCGCGACAGCGAGCGCTGGAACGAAAAGCGGCGCGCGCGCTCATCGCCGAGGGGCGACGAAAATGAAAAGCGTTTCTGGGGGTCTGGATGGGGCGTCGACGATCCGAGCGTCTCTTCCGCAAAGCCAAAGGATCAGGCGTTGCTGAAATAGGCCCCCGCGACTCTGTCTTTATCAGACGACGTCTCTTCTGGATCTTCGCGGATAACCTGCTCCGCCGCCACAACGGCGCCCGCCTGCCGGGGCCTCTTGTCTCCAAAGAGAACCGATGTCCCCGGATCTATTCCGGAGAGAGTCCAACACATCAACACGGATGATTAGAAAATGGAGAGTTTCCGGCGGCTCGCGAGCGGTCCATCTTGGCTTTTCCAATCTTAGGGCGGGAGATCAGTCACGGCTCAAATCGAGAACAAGGAGAAGCAAAACCCCTTTGGCTTCCCTTGGGTTTCCTTTCGGGTTTCCTCCATATTTCAGTCGCAAGAAGCCGCGCAAATCGCCACGCAACTGGCACTTATGACCACCTAATTAGATATCCCAAACTGGAGAAGCTTTTTTTCTGCTATCCGGCGCAACAGGGAGCTCAAGGCAAATTGCTGCGCATCAGCGCGCCCAGCTCGCGAATCTTCGCGCCACGGCAGCGTCGCAATTTGTCTAGGACCGCGTCTGGGTCCATTCGGACCCAGGTCTTCAAGGGCCCTAATTCTCGCACCCACTTGTACTCCAAAAATTGCGCCACCTCTTGGAGCGGGCTGCGGGAGGCTGTCCTCTCATAAAATTTCAAGCCCTGGTGCAAGAGGATGCGGCGGACTTCGCGCCCCGCCTCCGCTCCCAGCACAACTTCGTCCGCGGGGAGCCAAATGCGCCCCATAGGCGCGCTTCTTCCCACAGCTTGTTGGAGCTGTGCTTCGAAATGCTCAAAGGTCTGGTCTTTGCGGAGGCGCAGTTGGACCCGCAGCTCTTTGGCACAAACGGCGCTCACTCGCTCAGGCGACGCAGCCAAGGCCTCGTCGCGCAGCTCGTTGGCCAGGGCCAGGACGACCTCGGCGCCGTAGTGCTTCGGCGCGTCCATGGCCCTGTGGCTGCACAGCTGCGCCGCCAGGGCTTCCGAGACAAACTCCGGGTCGAGCTGCGGCACCCGCGAACCCCGCCACTGCCAGCGCGGGCAGGCTGCTGACACTGAGTCCGAGGCGCCGCCCCCGCTTGCCAAGCAGGCCTACCGCCAACACCGCGGCCTGACATGCGAGGTTTGCGGCGCCGTGATCAAAGGCACCGGCCACCCAGCGGGCGACTCGGCCGCCTTGCAGTCGCACATGCGGACCAGCTCACGCTGCCTGGCCTTGAGGGGGCATGGCCAAGGCAAGGAGCCGTGCTCCTTTGGGTGCGGCAAAATGCTGGCGGCTCAAAACATGTGGGCAGCGGAGCAGCATAGCTGGCACTGCAAAAAGCAGCAGCGCTGGACCTGGAGGCCCTGAGGTCAACCCAGGTCCAGCTACTGCCGCTTGAGGCCTGCGCGCCACACAGGGGCAGCTACCGCGGCTAAGCGTGCTGCCTTCAGAATCAGAAGCAGAGAAGCCAGCAGCGGCTACCGCAGCTCCGCGGCGCTGCTGCTGCAAAGACTGCCGTGGTCACGGCACTGACTGAGCGCTTGGCGTAAAAAAAGCACCGCGCGCGCGGCAGGTGGGCCTGGGCTAGACACAGGGTTAGCTTAGCCCCCCAGAAGAATTTGACCCTTGCCCTTTGTCTTGGGAACCCAAAAGCTTAAAGTCAACGCAGTATGTGGTCTGGTCAACTCACTGGTTCAGCAGGACATGCGGTGTGTTTATTTCTAGGCCCACCCCTGAATTAGCTAGAAAACTAACTCAGCACGGGCGAGCGAACCTTTTTCCACTGTTTCGGCGAATGGGAGTCAGCACGCTCACAATAATAGATACTGTCAGGACACGCGCAATAGGAGGGTTGTCACTTTCAAAAAGGAGCGCGGAAACGGCCATTCCCTAAAGCTTTATGCCTGACTGCGCTCAGGCTCACTCATCATGCTGGTTCAACGCAGCTCTGAGCCGCATTCCAGTCACTGTCGCTCTAGTATGTTTGCTAATCAGTTCACGCACGCGCAATTCCAGCCAGACGCCTTAACCTTGCACGCAGATCGCCAGTAAACTTAAAGCCCTGCAACACCCTTCGCCATCCTTCATGTCGGCAGCGCCTGGACCCGAGCCGCCGCTGAGCCCGCCGGAGTCACCGGTCTCCTTGCCAAGCGACGCAAGCTCCGTAGTTCATCTGCCATCCGACGCCGAGCCTGAGGCGGCAGCAGAATCAGCAGACCCTCACGCATGCTGCCTTTCAGGCTGCCGCAGGGTGCTCCAGGAGTCGCCAGCCTTGGCCCGACGAGTGCTCGAGCTGCAGCAAGCGCTGGATCAGAGCAGCCGCGATCAAGCCAGGATGCTCCAATTTGCTTGCTTGAAGCAATGGGGGTCGGGCACTGGCTGGCGCAGGTACCATGCCTGGAACATGGCCCTGTGCCAGGAAGCCACGAGCCGCATTCTAAAGCTAACGAAACACCAGATGAAAAAAATGAACAAGCAAATTTCAGAAGGGCTACTCCAGCCGGAGCGCTCTCTAAAGGAGACCCAAAGACAAAAAAGCAGCCGGCCCGCTTTGCAACACGCAGACGCCCTGCTGGCCTGGCTGCATCAAAATGTTGCGGAGGACCTCGCAGAGGGCGTCCGCGTCGACGGCGAATGCGAAGCGGCCAAAAGAAACGCATCGCTGCCGATCCTCTGCCGAAGCTGGCTAGCATCCCTTTCCTTGACCGCCTTGAAGAGGAGGAGCAAGGGGTCCGGTGGATGCCGCCAGGGACCACACTGGCTGAAATGCACGATCTATCGATGTCATTCCTGCCAGACACGCGAGTGTCGTATTCGACCTTTATCGGATGCTATCACCTGCGGTGGGCCAAGCGCCTAAAGATCCGCAACGAAGGCCAGCGCAGCAAGTGCTCCCTTTGCGAGCGATTTAAGGCGTGTCGCAAGCGGTGCAGTGCGCCGGCTGACTCCAAAAAAGTTTCCGAGGAGTACGCAAGCCACTTGGAAGCTGTCATGCAAGACAGGGCCGCGGACCAGCGCCTGTGCGCAGCCGCTCAGTTGGCTGCGGGGTCCTTGACAGGAGTTCCCAGCAGCGAAAATTCGCTGCTATCCATCACAATGGCCCGAAGCACCAGCGCATCCCCCTCGTGGAGCCTGCGGGGCCTTGTGGTGAGCGCCTGGGAGTATTCGGTGCAAACGGGTGACGCCCACACAAAGTCGAAGCGCCCGGGCGGGAAGGCGGCGCGGTAGTCCCAGCGCAGAATGTCGCAGCAGATGGTGACCTGAAGCTGTCCAACTACAGCACCACGGCGGCCATGAACGGCTCCATCGCCTCGGCCAACAACGCCACGCTGGCCACGGCGGCGGCCAACTACGGCCTCAAGACGGTGGTGGACCAGCGCTCCCTAGACATAGCGGCGAGGATCACGCCGCTGGAGGTCGACACCAAGGTGGCCAACGCTCTCCTGGGAGCCGTCACCGCCGCAGCGCTGGCCTCCGAGCTCGCGAGCCGAGACGCCTCCATCTCGGGCCTGCAGGCCTCCAAGGCGGACGCCAGCGCGCTGGCCGCCCTGCTCTCCACGGTGGACGGGCTGGACACGCCACTGGAGGTGGACACCAAGATAGCAAAGGCCCTGCTGGGTCTCGCCACCGAGGCCTTCGTCGCAGCGCAGCTTGCTAGCCGTGACGCCAGCATCACGGCGCTCCAGGGGGCCAAGGCCGACGCGACGCTGCTGGCCGCGTACGCCACGAACGCCGCGCTCTCAGCCAGCGAGACCACGCTCCAGAGCGCCCTCGACGCAATCCTCGCGGAGCTCGCCGCCCAGCAGCTTTCCGGCAGCGGCGGAGTTGTTAACGCACCGGCCTGGGCGGGCTTCACAACTTGGGAGCTCGTTCGCGGAAGCAACGTCGTTCGCAACCTGCATCTGGAGGCTCCTCTCTCTGCTGCGCTGGCCAACGGCGAGGACACGCTGAGCGTCACGGCCGACTGCTACTCCGTCGCAGCGGCGGACGCGGCCCTTGCGGCTGCGCTGCTGGCCTACTACACCTCCTCACAAGTGGACGCCCTGTTGGGAGACTACCGCACGGCAAGCGCGCAGGACGCGGAGACGACCGGTGCCATTTCGGCCGCGCTGCTGGCCTACTACACCACGGCGCAAGTGGACGCGCTGTTGGGAGACTACCGCACGGCAAGCGCGCAGGACACGCAGACGCAGGCCGCCATCGCAGGCGCGCTGCTGGCCTACCGGACGGGCCCGGACCAGGATGATTTCACAACCAACCAAATCACCTCCGCGCTGGTGGCGTACCGCTCGGCCGCCGACCAGGACACGGCAACGGCCTCAAGCATCGCCGCCGCCCTGCTCAGCTACTACACCATCGCACAAGTGGACGGTTTGTTGGCTGGCAAGCTCGGAGTCACGGAGGCAGCCTCGGCCCTGCAAATAGCAGTGCGCTTTCCGGACGACGGGGGGGGCCGACGAGGTGGTGGCCGCCATAGGAGAGCAGATCCTGGCCCCCACGGACGTCTCACTGTCAAACTGGACGGTTCGCC